CCATGTGGCTACCTACCAACCTACCGACCTAGCTTCCTCCTCGCAGTCAAAGCCTGGATATTCCGGAAATGACGTCACGCTCATTGTAACATCCCGTATAACGTGAGCGTAACCATAGTTCTCTTTCGTGTCCCACGGATCATGGCTCGAGAGAAAGAGAGAGGAAGATAAAGTTTTGCGTGCTTGATGCGTGGGTATGCGAACGACATCAAGTCGGTACGCAGCGTACCATATAAATACCTAACTTGACTACATGTACGGATACACCGGGAAAAGTGGATGTAACTGTATGTATAGTAGATACATATGTACAGTAGACAGATTCCTTCGCGCCGCTTCGACGATTTGCCTGCACTTCCTGGCGGACATGTATATATGTACATAATCTAGTCGTGACGACTCAAGTGTTTTTAATTTCACTCTCGTGCCGTGCATCCTGTGTCCCCTTTCACATGGAATCGATGTCTTTTGTATTTTGCATGAGCAACGAATATTTTTAAATGATTTTTTTGAAGTTCATTAGTTTTTTTCTTTAAATATTGATAATTGTATATAACATTCTATTAGCATAATTTTGTTTTATTAATTAGTCAGAATTTTGTCTTGCTATTTTTTGGAAGTAAAAAAATTTTTCATATCAATTCTTACTCAACTTAACAGTATGAATATTATATTGTTAAACAAAATAGTTCATATGAATAATTGTTAGATATTTTTGTATATTACAAATTCGAATAAAAAATTAAATTTTCAAATTCGAACATTTCATAAGTAATTTCATTAAAAAAAAGAAATTCTTAGATCGAATTTAGGTAAAGTAAATTTTAAAAATTCTTATAAATAAATTAAAGAAGTATTTAAAAAAAATATTTAAATATGATACTTTTCCAATAGCATTTTGCAACTTTTTTTATTAAATTTAAGAGAAATCAATATTTATTTATATTACTTTTATTTAATTATTACACATAAAAATGCTTATAAATTCAAAGCATATTAATATTTCGAAATCGTTTGTATTCAGTTATTTTATAAATTCCGAAAATCTTTATGAATAGTAATTGAATTCCACAAAAAAAAAGTTCTTTGTATTAAACTCGATTATAATCCGTAAATACATATTAAAATTGCTCCATTTCTTAGCACATAATATTTGCTAAAGACTTTTCTAATTTTATTTTCAAAAGATGTTTAATTCCTTTATTTATATATATAATTATATATATAATATGTGTATACATATATTATTAAACAATACAATTTTTTTTTCTTTTTATATGAATCTTTTTTTGATTTTGTTACTAATTAGTGCTATTAGTGCTATAAATATTAATAGCAATTTCATTTATTTTAATATTTAACAAAAAATTTTTTCAAAGTAACGGAATTTTAATTTTTTTTTTTTTTTCAAATTTTGATTTTTATAGAAATCATGTGATTTCAAACTATGTATTGATAGTACATAGGATTAATAAGTTATATTTTTGTGCATTGAATATATAGATCGTTTTAAATATTTTTTTCTATTAAATAATAATTTTTTATAAATGCTATTATATTTTTGTCGATTCATATTCTCGTGCAAAAATTATAGCATTGCTTACCGATTTTCATTTTTGATTCATAGAATCGGCATAATATGATATTTATTACAAAAATTCATAGGACAAAGCTTCAAAATTCGAGTTGTTATTGCAACGAATGTATATACATGTTTTCATCAGTTTATCTTACGATAATCAGACAAGTATTCAATTTAAACCCAACATTTGCAATGAAAACAATCAGTTTCAAGAAATAAATTTTTTTTTTATTTCTTTTTCAAGATTATTGAAATGTAACAAATTTTTTTTCATTATTTTCGTATTTATAAATTAATATTTTTTTTAAATTAAAATAATATTTATACGAATATATGTGATTATATACAAAGATAATCTTTATATCAAACCTAGTGTTTAATAGCCAAATAACCGAAAATAACGTTTAATAATCGTATTATTTATGTATCTTTTTATGTATTTTTTTCTTATATATTTTTCAAATATATATTGTAAAGTTTAAATTTTATATCTTATATTTTTTATTATAATATAATTAATAATTAATATAATTAAATATAATTAATATATATTTATATTTTTTGTTATAATATCTATTGTTTTATTTCGGTCATCATCGATTTCGGTCGATCATTGATTTTATTTAAAATTATATCCCAAACTTGTAACGAACTAGTAATTTTAGTGAACGAAAGTACGTTGTGATGCAGCTTCGGTTGTTTACCTTCAATTAAAATCGCGTAGGTGTCGAGACATATCATGTTCACTCACACATTATGCAGCTTACGCGCATAAATTACATTGAGATTGTTTGTTGCACGAGGATTATGTAAACGGTCGTAAAAGCAGTCGGCAACGATCGTTTTCAGCGTTGCAAATTTGACGAGGAACAGATGTTCTCGTAATTCGTAAATGTTGAGAATGAGGAGAGAGACAGAAAGATGAAAGTTTATTCGATTGTAGGAGATGATATAACGCGTTTTCTGATTTGATTACAATTAATTATTATAATTAACGAAAGAATAATTACGAATAATTATGACTCAAAAGCTGAATCAGAATCAAATTGCTCGATAATATGCGATAACACTCTCGATAACATTTTGTGCTTTCCCATTTATCTTTGATGTATGATTATTAGTAAAAATTTACTAATAAACTATTTGATAAGCGTATAATATGTGAGCTCATTGTTGTTTTGCGATAGTTTCATCTATCATAGACATGATTAAGATTAAATATTATTCATGCAGTGTTTCAAAATTATATGAGAAATTAGAAAGAAATGCTTTAGAGATAGTCATTAATTTAGAAATAGCCATAAGATTTATTCTGTTGAAATTATTTTTGATTCAATTGTGATTTTTTATAATTAAAAAATTTCTTAAATAATATTCTTCATTTAAATTTTGAATAAAAATTAAAAAAAAATTTTTGTTAAAATTTGAAGTATTAGAAATGTTTATTAATTAAGAAATTGAAAATAAATTAAAGAGATGATAATTAATTAGTTAATTAAAAGTTTTCATTTGGCTTTTTTTATAAACATATATATATATATAAAATACAACAATTATATATATGTAACATAATTCAATAAAATATTTCATTATTCAAATATAGCTTTCTATATTTTTTTCTCTATATTTTACATATATTTTTTTTATATCTAACTATATATACACAATTGTATTTAATATTATATTTATTATATAAATATAATAGATTTTATTCTATCAAATTGCAAACTAAATATGTTGCATTGCTTATTATATATATAAAACTATTTTATTTTGAAACTTAATTAAAATTTGTGAAACCCATATGTGAAACATTTCTTATATAAATTATACAATTTCATGTTTGAAACTTCACATGTTTAATATATTTGTTACTGTTTAATATATTACGTTATTAAGAAACTTGTTACAAATTAAGAAATTCAACCATTACATTTTATATTTAATTATAATAATTTTATTATAATATATAAATAATAATAAAAAAATTTTTTAAATTGATGAATGAATGTAATTATATTAATAAAAATATTTTTGATAAATATAAAAAAATTTTAAATGTATGTATATAATCAAAAAATAATAATATTTGTCATTTCATAATTTAAGAAATTTATAAAATATAGAATAGTTTATATTCGATTCAAAACTGAAAAAAATTTAAAAAAAAAGATATAAAATAAGGTTTTGTAACATGATATTTTATACAATAAAGAATGTACTAAAAGTAATATACAAGTATAAATATATAATCTCTCTTTATAATAAATATTAAATATTTAATTATGGATAAAAAGTAAATATATTCTTATAATTTTCTAATGATATAATAATGCATATATATATACGTATATATATGTTTTTATTTAAATATGATGATAATTTTTTCGATATCGATAAGTAAAGTAAAATTTATGAAAATTTTCAAAATGCGAAATATTGTTATTAGTAACTAATTTTTTTTACTCTAAACAGTTATTTATTCAATAATATGAATTAGTATTTTTCATTTAATATTATATTAATTATTGGTTAGATTTTCCATTTATTTATCAAATTTATGAAAAATACAACGAATGATTGAAGGGATATTTTCATAATTATTGTTTCAAAAATTACTTCGATTCTGAATATGCACTTATCGTATTTTTTTCAGTTTAAATATGCCACATAAAAAATATTAGTATAAATAAAATATAAAAAAATAATACAGAAAGAAAGTTTAATAAAATCAATTACAAAATTTTTTAATATAATTAAATTATATTTATTAATGTTAGTCAAATTGATTAACTAATTAGTTAATTTATTTATAAATCAAATATTGATGATAGAGGAATATATTATAGATAATGAATGTTATTTTTCAAATTATTTAAAAATTTCGGATTAATCATTATCCAAATTAAAAAATTAGTATATCTAAAAAAAAATAAAAAATCCAATTAAGATTCAAGAATTTATTTAAAAGAAGAATACTATATTGGTAATAGCATAGTATTTATGTTGATGAAATAAATATTGTGATTTTGATGTTTGAAAAAATAATATTGATACTATTTTCTTTTATTACTGTTCCTTTCATAAATGTTAATATATATATCTCTCTCAATTCAACCAATTCATAAAAGGGATAAAATACACTTTTTTAAAAAACAAAAAGAACCAAAATGTAAATGTAAAAGAAGATTAATAACATCACTTAGTTAGATAGTTGAGAATATTATCAATTAGAAAATCTTAGAATAATCTTATAGTTTTTCTATATTTTGTTCGAAACAAAAATGTCTCTTTTATATCATCTCTCTTTTACACAAAAAAATTAAAAATTTAAAGATATTACGCTATCAAAAATTATTTCTTCATTTTTGTTCGTAAATTAAAAATTATGAATAAACATACAAATCAACATAAATATTTCATATTTTAAATATCACAACTTCAATCTTGAATCAACATTAATAAGGAAATTTTCATCGATGCAATGTAAATTTGTTGAAAAACCTTGCGTACAAGTTCTCCAAGTACGTGAGATTTCGTTCGTAACTTGTATGATTCATCGGTCGAGCACGCGCCAGCATTAGCATTCATCATAGTCAGAAACAAAAATATAGATTATTGGCTATCGGTAGCTCGTGAGGACTTTGTAACCATGGTCATAAATATTTCCCTTGCTTGCTAGACCATTGATTGGCCACGCTCATACCGCGCATCCGTTAACCGATAACTCACATTATGTCATGTCGCGGCCAGTAATCGACGAACAAACAGCGATCGTTACCTTTCGACAACGTCGGATCTGTTACGGATGACTGTGATCACTCGACGAAAGGAATAGTGATCGTGATCTCGCGAAAATTCTTGTGTGTAAATAAGTACTTAAAGCGTGATGGTTCGAATGATGACGTTCTTTTACAAGGTGATTCTAAAATGAAGTAATAATTTTAGTTTAGTTAGATTAGAAAATCCTTTTGCAATCTATTGAAGTAAATGAAATCATTATTGGTATTTAAAAATAATTTTGAATTAATGAAAATATTAAAAGATTTAATATTGGAAAAGAAAAAATGATTCCAAATCTTTGGCTAGTATGTGTATATATATATAAAGTTTTATAATATAGATAACAGATATACAGATGTTAATATTATATAGAAACTTTTAGAAAATTGATTCTAACCAAAATAAATATGAAATTTGTATTCAACAATATTATTTAAAATTTATTTATTAAATTATAATCAATTGAAGCTTGTATTTGATAAAGCGAAACGGAAATAGAATAAAATCGCTCTGTTCTTTCCATTATATCATCGTCACATTCTATTCCCAGCTTACTTCATCTAATGGAAACTTAAATTGCTTATAACGTAATAAATAAGTTAATTAATTGACGTTTTTAGGTTTTTTATATTTGATCTCCAGATTCAAAAAAGTCACACGAATACATTAACATTTGGGGGGAAAAACTTTATTTTATTGATTTTTTTTTTTTTGTAATATAAAAGAATATAGTTAATAGTTAGCATTCTTCATTACTGTAAAATTTAAAATGTGAAAAACTTGATAAAAAATGAGACACAATCATTTTAATTAAGTGTATTTGCCATATCAAACTTTAAGAATTAGAAACTATGATTAATTTATTTTTATATATTTTGAAGTCAAATTTATTATTAAAATTATAATTATAAAAATATTATTATATAATATATATAATATATACATAATAAAAATGAAATTAATTAAAATTGATTTCAAATCCAATAATAGAAAAATTATACTTTATGATTGTTAATTGATTTGATCATACTAGAGTTTACGTCATACTTATTTCATTAATCATTATTCATTACTGGTAATCGATTGAATGTTGACGATATGTTAATATACTTTCTGGATAAATGATTCATATAATTTTTTATGCATACTTTTATCTTCATTACCATAAGAATTCTTTTCTTGCATTGGTCATAACAAGAATTAACAGAGAAAAAATTTAAAAAATTTGTCACTTAATTTTTTAAAGTAATTTGTATATTACATTTATATTTTTCCAATAATTTTTGATATCTTTTTATTAAAATATTATTAAAATTTCAATTAACTAATGTGCAGTTGATTGAATAATAAATATTAAATGATGATATTAAGATAACTCATATTCTAGGTCATCTATCAGCCAGTTTATGGCTAAGAAGCTGTTAAAGCGATGCGACGCGACGGTCAAGTTTCGAATCGTAAATGTTGCTAACATGATGCCTAAAGCTTTCCTAATCGGAGAACGATTTTTGATGTGGCTCTTCTATAGTCAATTGAGTCTTACAGATTATTAAATGGCTTAGTCCTTGTTAAGTCTCATAAAAAAGTTAGTATACAACAGCATAAATCATAAAACAGCATACTATAAAATGACAAAATTATGAAATTTCTATCTTAAGATGTAGTTAAAGCTAAAGATTCACATTTCAATTTAAAATCTTGATATTATGGTTAATAATAGAAGAGAATTCATAAATATGGAGGAATAATTAATAAAAATAATTTTAATTAATTTTATAATTTCTGATATTAGTGATATCATTTTATTATATATATAATAATAATTCAATTAATTTTTTTTATTAATTATATACATGTATATATATATGTATCATATATATACATACATATATGATTTTCTGTTTTTTGAGTTCATATTTATGTATAGTCAAAAATCTTGTAAAGAAAATATGAAAATATAAAATATACTTTTCCAATTAAAATTAATTTTTTATGTATATATATATAGATATACACTATATATATACTTATATATAATAATTTTAATTATTATATAAAATATTTGTTATTATTATTATATTTATTATTAAATATTGATTATTTATATTTATGATAAATCATTTCAAATGAACTTATTGTAGTTATTGTAATATAAATATTAATGAGAAATATTTTTTTATTAAATGAAAAATATTAATAAATTATAAATAATAGCATTATAAATAAATATAAATAGAGATGCATGAAAAATATTATATAATCAATCAATATATTATAAAAATGAATATTGTAACATAATATTGTAAAAAAGAATATAAATGCGATCTGAAAATTCATTGAAATGAAATGAAATAAATTCATTGAAATAAATATTGTTTAATTTTTAGTTTTTGATTTTGAATATATTTTATATGTTTTAATGTTATTATATTGTAATATATACAATTACTCAAATTTCACATATATTTATTATTCTACATTCCGAACAATATTATTAACGTAATATTCATTTATGGAAAATATTTTTCAAAAATTTTTTCGAAATTTTTATTTTAAAATATATTCATATTCTAAAAAATATTAATTTTTGACTATAAATATCACAATTATGTTATAATCAATTTAAATTCCAATAAATATATATAAGAAGATACAACTACTCATTTATAAACAATTATATAATAATTTCTATCTTAATTTTCGGGAATCTCAGGTTTTTCTGCATTATCAAGTTTCCGAAATGAATACCTCGATGCTTTTTTCAATATGTTGAAGATACTTAAAGGAAAACTTGAATATAAAGAATTATTTATATTGATTTTGCTACATTCGCTACAGTAAAGAACTGCTGCGAGTACGCGTTAAATATATATATATTATATGTATATTGCATATATGCATGCGACAGAGCATATATCAGGCGTGTATAAGAGACGTGCATATGAAAAGGTTTTAGATTAATGTAGGTACATGCTACTTAGGTACATGCAAATACCAGTTTCGATTAAATTAAGATAGCGAAATATCAGAAAAAAATTGAGTTGAGAAACCGCGGCATGGAATTGAATTATGGAATATGTAACGATATGATAAAATGTTTTGTCTAATAGATAAAAATAAAAAATCCGAAGTTCGCAAATTCATTTATTGCAATATTGATAAATATAATATTGATAAAGCTTAGTTTTTAATATTATATATTTAGATTTAGATTTAGGTTAAAAATTGATGATGATTTAAATTAAAATTTTAGTATAAATTTCGAATTATTTTTTTAAACATATTTAAATTTATAAATTAAAATTATTTTTATAAATTAAATTAAATATTATATCTTTGAATTTTAATGAACAATTTTAATAGCAATAAACAATCTAATTTTTTTTTATATTAATATTTATGAATTTTGAATTGATTTAAAGAGAAAATATCAAAAAGTACATTTCTATTTTTTTTATATATAAATTTGCACATAAAATTTTATATTAATTAAATTTAAATTGCCGGAAACGAAGAAAAGTTAATCAGTACTAAGATATTCAATGTCCAGATATTGCATAAATTATAGATGCTTATTTTCTATTATGTATTTATATTTATATATAAAGTATATTTTATTTTATAAAGAAATATACAAAAAATATATAATAAATAAATAAAGATAAAATAGATTAGATAGATATAAATTTTTACATATTATTCTAATTATGTCCATATATGTATATGATTTTTCAATTATTTCTCTTAAAAGTTTTCGAATATAAGATAATTGAATGTCGATTAATAGTAAATTACAATATGAAAACTGATAAAAATTTTTTATTTGTTAAGAAATATATAAATATCATTCATTTTTTAAAATAAAATTATGTATTTCTTATACATTAATCAATTATATTTAAAAATATGATGTGATATATTAATCGAAAATTAATTAATTTAAAAGTTATAATTTTTTTTTCTAAATGCTTATATAATTTAAATACTGCACTATAGAATAAAAAATTCTCCAATACACAAACTATTCAATTTTAACGGTAATTGATCTTCTTTTTTTTAATAGTAATCTTTTTTTTTTTGTTTCTTTCTCTTATCTCAATTTGAAAGGAATTCTTGATACCTCGTTGGAATTAAATCGGCTTTCGCGAGACGAAAAGAATTAAATTTTTTTTAAAATCTTTTTTCTAAGAAATATAGGATAATCGATAATTATTGTGACATTTTGGTAAAATATTGAGATTTTTAGATGCCTTTTAGATGTTAAGAGTTCTATCTAACTTTTATTTTAATTAAATTTTATAAAAGAAATTTTTGTTCTTTTTTTTTTTTTAACATTTCAATATCTAGATTATTAGCGATGAATATGTTCAAATTTTATTTTATTAATATTAATGTAAGTACAATTAATTAATAAATTTTATACTTTGCTTGTGAAAAGAATTTAGAAAATCATGTTATAAAATTATAGTTTTTAATTTGAAATCTGGAAGCTAATGTTATCCTTATAAATAATATATAATAATATAATAATATATAATATATAATAGTATGTTAAAATAATATAATGTTATTATATTATATATAATATATAATAATTAAATAAAATAAAATTTGAAAAATATAAATATATAAACATTTGATTTAACAATTTTAAAATATTGTCGCGATTAAATGAAAAAAATGAAAAGAAAAATTAAAAAAAATATGTAATATAAATATACAGTCTATGAATTTAAAAAAAAATAGTTACAAAAATATTTTAATATATTTTCCAATAAAGCATTTTTTTTTATATTTTATTTTCATATTATCAAATTTATTTATTTACGAAAATATTACAAAATATAATGCAAAATTTAATTTCTAATGAACTAATATGCAAATACATTTTTTATGTATTTATTATTAAAATACATATTATTATTATATCTATATTATATCTATATAAAAAAATATATGTATATAACAAAAATAAAAAAATAAAAAAAAGTGTATACAAAATACAGTATTTTAAATTATTATAGTTTAAATACAATTTAATTAATTTATTTTATTACAGTTTAAATACAGTTAAATTAGAAATCATAAATTAATGCTATTGTATAATCAATAACTGAATAAAAAAAGGATTATTTA